TGACTATACAGATAGCTGAAATTGAGTTCTATCATCTGGTAAAGTAATATTTAGATGACTATACAGATAGCTGAAATTGAGTTCTATCAGCTGGTAAAGTACATATTTAGATGACTATACAGATAGCTGATATTGAGCTCTATCAGCTAGTAAAATAAATATTTAGATGACTATACATATAGCTGAAATTGAGTTCTATCAGGTGGTAAAGTAAATATTTAGATGACTATATAGATAGCTGAAATTGAGTTCTATCAGCTGGTAAAGTAAATATTTAGATGACTATACAGATAGCTGAAATTGAGTTCTATCTGTTGGCATAGTAAATATTTAGATGACTATACAGATAGCTGAAATTGAGCTCTATCTGCTGGTAAAGTAAATATTTAAATGACTATACAGATAGCTGAAATTGAGCTCTATCAGCTGGTAAAGTAAATATTTATATGACTATACAGATAGTTGAAATTGAGTTCTATCAGCTGGTAAAGTAAATATTTAGATGACAATACAGATAGCTGAAATTGAGCTCTATCAGCTGGTAAAGTAAATATTTAGATGACTATACAGATAGCTGAAATTGAGCTCTATCAGCTGGTAAAGTATATATTTAAATGACTATACAGATAGCTGAAATTGAGCTCTATCAGCTGGTAAAGTATATATTTAAATGACTATACATATAGCTGAAATTGAGCTCTATCAGCTGGTAAAGTAAATATTTAGATGACTATACAGATAGCTGAAATTGTGCTCTATCAGCTGGTAAAGTAAATATTGAGATGACTAAACAGATAGCTGAAATTGAGTTCTATCAGGTGGTAAAGTAAATATTTAGATGACTATATAGATAGCTGAAATTGAGTTCTATCAGCTGGTAAAGTAAATATTGAGATGACTAAACAGATAGCTGGAATTGAGTTCTATCAGCTGGTAAAGTAAATATTTAGATGACTATACAGATAGTTGAAATTGAGCCCTATCAGCTGGTAAAGTAAATATTTAAATGACTATACAGATAGCTGAAATTGAGCTCTATCAGCTGGTAAAGTATATATTTAAATGACTATACAGATAGCTGAAATTGAGCCCTATCAGCTGGTAAAGTAAATGTTTAAATGACTATACAGATAGCTGAAATTGAGCTCTATCAGCTGGTAAAGTAAATATTTAGATGACTATACAGATAGTTGAAATTGAGCCCTATCAGCTGGTAAAGTAAATATTTAAATGACTATACAGATAGCTGTAATTGAGCTCTATCAGCTGGTAAAGTATATATTTAAATGACTATACATATAGCTGAAATTGAGCTCTATCAGCTGGTAAAGTAAATATTTAGATGACTATACAGATAGCTGAAATTGTGCTCTATCAGCTGGTAAAGTAAATATTTAGATGACTATACAGATAGCTGAAATTGAGCTCTCGCAGCTGGTGAAGTAAATATTGTAACTAAAATGCATATATCTAGAATCGAGATCAATAATCTGGTGAAACTAAAATATTTAGATAACTATGAGATAGTTGAAATTTGACATAAAATGTTAAATCTCGTATACGGTGAATTAATAAACAACAGGATTATTTAACACAGAGATT